TTCTGAACAGGGACCCCCTTAGCAGTGGGGCCAGCGCCTTAGACGAGTTTGTCGGAAATCGGCTAGCCCAGTCAACAGTATTCGACGTGCAACCAATACCCGGCAAGGGCACAGGAAATCACCCTACGACGCTCCAGGCAACGCTGTACACACGCAATTCCGCTTGTAAGCCGTTGTCTTGCAGAGTGAAAGTAATCGTGGTTGCAATGGTTGCAATAATCACGCGTCTCTAGCTTCTTTATCTCGCCGTTTCGAGTGACGAAAGTGGTATATTCTCTGCGAATACGGACAACGATGTCAAATACACGAAATCATTTTGCGGACTATTTGGTCGCGGAGACTGTCCTTAACTGCTGCCACTTGCCACTTCGCCAACTCCGCTTCAAAAAGTTCTCAAATGGGAAGAAATAATAAAGAAAATAGAACGGAAACTAACTTTGATACTGCTATAGCTTGTTCCGCACATGATCCTTTCGTTCCACATTCCATTGGCACCGGCATAGACTGGAAAACAACATTATCTGCGCAAAAATTTTTGAGCCCGATCTGTACAAATCCTTCCATCAGATACCGTGCACACGTAATAAACTGCGCTTATACGGATACAGCTCTTTGGTATAACTTCGTGAATCTCTTGGATGGAATCAAAACCCGGATGAGATGAAAAAATCCCAGGCTGGCCCTCAACTGAGAAAAAAAACTTACTGTATGGTATTCGTCGCAGTAGGTGAACGGAGCTCCTAGAAGAAAAAGATAAAGTGAAGCCAAGAAAAAATAGTCGAGATTGTGAGCTGAACTATACGAAACGATTGCCTCTGGTGACTTCTTACAAGGTTTTATCCCAGAATTTAGCAAATAAAAAATTAAAGATACTTTTCGCAATCAGCCGTCGACCGTTAGCCGTTATTGGTTCAGAAAACCAGAGGGGTATACCCTAGTTAACTGAGCGATGCAGAAGAAAGTGAAATCAGACAGCAACAGCAGCAAAGGAGCATGTAAGCCGGCGACAAGACAGACAACATTGCGGGGTGGAGTCACTTGCGTTTGGGAGGAGCCACTTGAGCACTCCTGGGTCTTAGTGCCTTTACCTTGCAATTTTACGAGGCGAATACTAGTTTAGGATTGACCGCAATGGCCCAGGCTACCTCCCTCAAAACAGAGGTAAGACAGTACGCCAAAATTCGCTTTACGACACTTACAAAGCGGCTAAAGAAATGCAAATGCCCGGGCATGAAGGGACAATTTCTCACCCGACCCGCTAACTTTTGCTTTTAAAGTTTCAAATTGAAATAATCGCAAGAGGATCGTTCCGAAAAAAGGAGAAACAACAATGGGTGGAACGTCGAAAGCGGGAAACTTGACTGTGGCGGGCGGCCGTCCGAAGACTGGAATGTCAACCACGTTGCCGACGGTCGAAATCCGGATGACAGGCTTCGCAAAACTTGAACTAGACGGAGAATAGGGCAAGGTGTCTTAAAACAAATATAAAAATGTCACTAAAATAGAACATCTTGAAATAATTTTAACAATCAAAATGAGGATATCTCTAGAGTCTTCCTCATTGAAGATCATCCGGATGGAAAGCGTATTGCTACAGTAAAGCTCGAAAAGAGTGGATTCGCTTACAAAGGGCAGTGAAAGACAATGAACATGCTGCAGCCGGGAGTGCGAGCGCCCTGTCCGCGCACCCCGCGAGCGACACTAGTTGTCCCTCGCATCCCTGAAGGACGAAACCGCACAAGAACAGAGAAATAAAAAAACAATCAATACATCGGCCGCAGGGCACGCCACGCGTTGCCGAGCATTTCCTGACAAATTTCGCTGGAACCCCCTCGTCAGAATTAAACTATCATTTTCAAGTGTTGGAAATAGCAGTGCTGACCAAATACGACCCCTCCCCTCCCAAAAATGACCAAGTACGACCCCCCCCCTTTACAGCGGTCCGTGAAACAAAGAAATCAAGGGTAAAACCATGAAAATCAGATAGGGACTACCAAGCTTCGAAAGACTGGCGGAATGCATCGAAGCGGGCGGGGAACCCTCACGACGGCGAGCAAGCCCCACCACATCGATCGCCCGATCAAGTCGTACTGGAGGCCGAGTTGGAATGGAGGATCCGAATAGCACCCAAAACTGGCATTGGCCCACCGGCAACCAGGACGGGGCAACCCAACGGAGGCTCAGCGTACAGTAGCACAGTGGAGCTTAGCAAATAGGTGAATGATTTACATTTTCGTCTGACCTCCAAAATACGAACCCCCCCCCTCCCTCCGCGGTCGTAATACGTACCGTCACCCCCAGAGCTGGGCTCGACCCGGGCCCCGATTCTTGTCTGATCACAAAACCGTATGGCGTACTCTTAAGATGAGCGCTGCTTACGCTGGACACCCCCACGTTCGCAGCTCCAATCCATGACTAGTGCACATTAGAAAATGCTGCGCGATGGCCAGCACAATCGTCGCGCGCGACGCCGACGGGAGAGTTAGTGATTGTCTTGTCCCGTCTCTCCCTTATCGAGAGACCCTGTTGTGAGATGTTCCGGTTGGGGAAAGAACTTGGTGGCGGTAAATGATAGCGCCAGGTGCTGAATTGAGCAAGGAATTATCAACCCCCCAATTCTCGTGGGTGCAACTGACCGTCCCCTAATCAAGGTAAGGGGGTGAGCTTTATAGAAACACGAGCAAATTTCCAAGATCTGTACTACCGGCGCATCGATCTACCTAACGCGTATATCAAATCATACCAAACCTAACAAAAATCGCGACTCCTCAATCGAACTAGTCGATTGAAGACCGCCAAAGCTCACACTCAATGTCGAGTGGTTTGCGAATTGGAAGAATATGAACACGTCGTGTGCTACTTGTGACGTGACCATTTCCAGCTTCTTTTTCAGCTCCACCTTAATGAATATCATACACCCCTTAGAGTCAAGATGAGAAAAAAAAAACAAAAATTATGTATAAATTGTTCATTTTTTTCGTTATATAACACTTTTCACTCACGTCAGTGGAGTTCTGAGTATTGAGTTACCCCACACGTAAACAGAAAGACTCACTGGGCGGCGGCGTCTCGTTATAATGGAAGCGCAAACTCGAGTAGTTGTGATCGCCTCCTGAAAAAACTACAACTCCGCAATATTATGTCTATATTCAATACACAAATTCTTTATGCAGAGGGTTATTTTCCAGGTCTTTTCGCTCCTGGGTTAGCAATCTTCTCTACTTATTTCGTGGTTTCGTCGCGCGATTTCGATGGGATGCATTTATTGTTATTTAACTATGTAAACTGCGTATTGCTTTGCATTCTAGCTAGATTCCACCTGATCTGGAGAGGGACTCGAGCCCAAAAGACCAGCAGCAAAATTTTTGGAATGAAAGAGCTGCCAGAAATATATTTTCCACGCAACAATTTTTGAGAACGTAGCTGACAAAATGTCAAAAGAAAAATGGCAGCCTCTTATGTAGGAATCGAGCCTAGAAAAACAATTGAATAAACGGAACTAACCAATTGACGAAAATCCGTGACACTCCACTGAAGTGCTCGACACATCGGGCGACGGTGCGCTTTCGGATCTATTTTCCAGATCATCCAACTCCTGCAAGAAAGGGGATAATGTAGCACAAAAACAATCTTTAATTCACTGTAACTACTCGACAGGGAATTTTTTCAAAAAGACCAGGACAGTACTTGATATTTTGCCGTATAAATACTTCGGGCACAACTCCTACGTCTTCGTCAGCAATCTAGGTCTCACTCAGATATTATGGCGTGGCTATCCTCGCGAGAGCATCGTTTTGAATGGAACCCCACGCTATTCATACTAGACTTGTTTGTTCATCCAAGGCGAAGCTCTCACGGAGGTACAGCCACAAAAACTGAATCATAATCAGTCTGCTGAAGAATACACTACACACAGAAATACTCTATGAACATCTGGAGGTTTTAGGGAGACATTTCAGTACCACTGCGATAATTTCTCGGGACTATTTCTTAGCACCACATCCAGAATGTTGGAAAGGCGTTTTCTGGGGGTCAGATCCCCAGAAAACGCCGTTCTCTGGCCATAGTGACGTGAAAAACTGCATACCAAAACACGTGATGATCATCCCTCAATATTACATACTCCAGTTCGCTGCGGACGGTTGGGCGTGTCAGGCAGTATGAGTGTGTCACCCCGTCAAAGCCGTTCTCTGCCTTCTTGTTGAAGCGCGCATGCGACAAAAAGTGGTAGAAAACGAGTAATACGAACGATATGATACAGTCATATCATTTGCTCGCTGGTGGAGAACGGGTTTGGCACCGCGCCAAACTCATCCCGCCTGACACGCCCAACCGTCCGCAGCGAACTACACTATACCAACCCCGGTCTACCGTGCGGAGCTCTCTTACCTACCAGTTATGCTGGTTTTCGGTCTACCACTTGTCAACTGGTAGCTGTTTTTGGTATGCAGTTTTTGTTTCCTTCAATCGCAGTTTGACATATGACTCGATATCTCGCTGAAAACTTTAGGGCAGACTTATTTTAAATGGTTAACAAGGCAACTCAAATATTTTGAGTCCTTTTTACCTAATACAAGGACGTGTCACAGTTTTTTCCATTGAAATGGGCCACCACAAATTTTGTGGTCGGGTATTCCCACTCCAGATCTGCTATTTTTACTTCGGTTACCTACTCAGCACTTTTCTCAGAAAGTTCCCGTGTATTTTCACTAACAATACACAAAAAAATTTGATGCGCAATGAAACTCAGAAACGCTATGATTTATTTTATTTACTTTTCCTGGCAAACAGAATCGGAAATGCTGGTTTTGATTTCGTCCATCTCATCTCCTTTATAAAAGCAAGTTTTGAAAACTGAGAACAATCCTTAGCTGTCGGAACTGGTTAGTTTGTGATCTCAGAAAGTGTCAGAATATTTTCCAGTATATGAATGTTGATCTTACCTGGTCGAGGGACGTCAAGAGCAAGACCGCCATCTTCCTCATGATCCATCAGCTTACTGAAAGCAAAAAGGCTGAATTTGCATCTGTTCCTCATAAAATGAGAAGCTATTTATTAGGCCATTTCCGACCTTGAAATCAATGGTCTCCTTACAGCACGCAAATTAAAGGCATACCTTGTATTTTTAGCGGATCTGTGTGTTGTTGTGTTGTTTCGGGAGAGGCTTTCCTTTGACTCTCCTTTTCTGCTCGCTTCTTTTCTTTGGCTAGAACATCGATGTAGGATCGTGGCAATGCATCATCACCCCCATCCTCCTCATCGCTGGTGACACTGGAATGACCGTTGGATGTATTTGGGATTCTGCTTTGGGCTACGAAGCCCTGTACAATAACAGAAAATATTCGCCGCATATAACGCTTTAAGACGTAGCTATCCGCAACTCAATTCATTCGTTTAGCAATGAAGCGATCACAACTGGGAAAATCAAAGTCTGCTGTAATTAATTAGGGCACTATTTACCATTTACTGCCCCAATCATCCGGAATCGAGCCAGTTTTTGATCGGTTTTTTCTACGGGGCAGATCTGGCTCAAATGTTGTCCCCTGAGGCAGTTTGACCTCCTGAATACGAACACAGGCGCGGGCCAGGAGGTTTTGGGCAAAGTGGATGTGATATTCGTGTTCAGGAGGTCAGACTACCCCTGGAAACAAGTTTACAACGAATTTGGTGATTTGAGGTATTTTAGCGCCGGTGCCTGTGTCGAATGCGCTGGGAGGTTTCGTGCCGAGCAGATGGGATATTTATGTGGATGTTTAGGAGGTCAAATTAACCCAGATGACAAATATTTAGCCGTTTCTGTCCACGGAGAAAAAGTCGGTCAAAAACTGGCCGGATTTCCGATTGGGGCAGTGAAGGGTCAATAGTGCCTCAAGTCGGGCGCTATTGCAATTCGGGCTAGCAGTCATCGTACGGACGTTATTGTTAGGTTGCGTTTATACTTTGCCACGCGAGCCAGCGTTTCGAGCGACTAAAAAAGCACACACAGCGGTCCAGCGTTTCCGTGGGCGGTTTGCTCGGGCTGAAATCGCCCGGGAAAACAGTGGCGCACGCTGGCATACGCTAGATGGATACCTATACCATCCTAGTCGTGGCGCTACCGTACGCTGGCGCAAGTATGAACGCAACCTCAGGTAATGGCAGTCCCTTACTTGGTAGGGCTTGTCATCTGACCACATATCCTATGGGTAGGTGCCTTAAAACATGTCGTATGCGCCATGACATTTAAGGATTAGTTCCTCAGATCCGTATAAACACTGCTTCTACAACCACCAGAATTTGGATATATTCTCCCAACTCTGTGTGCCATGAGTTTTTTTACGCGTGAAAGGGTTTGGGCTGCCTTGTTTCTCAGCTGTGAACTGAAGTACAAGCGGGTAATTCGAATGACAGTTCTCAAGCGCACATCAAAATGTAGGTGATCTGGGGAATATTCTAGAAAAACGGCAGTGTTCGGCTTGGGAAGAGCATTTTGCACTTTTGCTAATTCC